GATTGCCATTAGTTTGGTCGGTTCTTCGCATCTACTGAATAAATATAATTCGGTCTCCGTTCGGGTGTTACACCACGGGCATAGATCTGTCCCTGACTTATATCTGACTCGGTGCTTAGATCGAGTTGGGAGAATCTGGTTTGCGCATTTTCAATTAAGGATCTTTTCTTGCTGGCTCAATATATCGGCTGTTAAGGTCTCCCATATAGCCGGTTTTAATTTATCAGCGCGTTTGGACTTCTGATCTTTGATAATCCGTTCGTAGATTGCTCGTATTGACGTTTCACGAGTTTCATCTAGGTCGATTTTAAGCTTCTTTAATACGTCTAGGGGTTTTCTCCAGTGGGTGAGCGGGGTTACGGTGTGCGGTTTAGCGTTGTTCAAATTTTGTCCTATGTACTCCTTCATTGAAAGCCCAAGCTCTTGATCAATTCTTGGGAAAATGATGTTGTTCTTGTCAGTTTCGTTGTGGATTGATTGTAGGTACTGTAAAATAATTTTTCCAAGTTGAAGTTCTAGGATTATTAGTATGTTTGGTAATTCGATACCCCCATCTTTCATTGGCATGGTTAAGATGTCGAAGTCGATTTCTTCGTTATTTGGTAGTAAATAATTTTTAGTCATTTATCGGATCCGGTTTTTTATGCTTCAATTCGAGTGGCGTAGTTTGAGCTAGGTAGAGCATTTTCGGATATATAATTGTTTTCCGTTCTTCAAAACTATACAGTCTGTGGCCAAAATTATTTAGGATGAGCTGGCACTTGTTGATTTCATTTTGCCAAACTGTGCTACTTGTTATGTTTCCATACTTGTTTCCTACTATTTCCACCGAGTTTAACCAGTTTATCTGAAGGTTGTACTGGTCAGTCGCAAACCATAGGCCTTTAGTTTTATCCAAGTTTAATAACATACCGGAAGCTTTCCCAAAGAGTGTTACCATTTCAATTGCGCGTTTTGCCGACAGCTCGTCTGGGGTATTAATTGCCGTGTCGTGCGCGAATGCTGGGGTCTTGATTTCTTCCTTGATTCTTTGGAGTCTGATTCCGTGGATGTTTCGATCTTTTTCGATGGCCTGTGATAACGAGTCTGTAGTTAGTGTGAAAAGGATACTTGATAGCGGGTCTCCTTGTCTCACTCCTCTTTGAAGGGTAATATATTTGAAAAGATGTCCATTTACCAATATTTTTGATCTGGGTTCCGAATAAATAGTTTTAATAAAGTGAATGAATTTGCCTGACATGCCATATTTTTGTAAGGTAGAGAACATTATGGTCGATAGAATCAAAAGTATTTTGAAAGTCCAGGGAGATTATTGATCCTTTTTTTGTTGTTTGGCTTCTGCGGCAATTTCTCTCAAAATAAGATTTAGGTCGGTGATTTTATTTGGTGGTTTGGCGAATTGGTGGTGGTGTGTAATTTCCGGAAGAGAGTCCTTTGTCCTATTAGATAAAATTTTGTTTAGAATATTCAACTCATAATTGAGTAGTGTTATAGGCCTATAGTTACCGATATCAGTGCTATCTCCTTTTTTATAAATCAAATGAACAATTTCGTTCGTAACTTCAGTTCCTTTGGGTTTGACGTACATTTCGTTAATAATATTTAATAGCTGTTTTTGAATAATTGGGTAGCAAGATTTATAAAATTCGATACTTAATCCATCTGGTCTTGGGGACTTGTTCGGTTTTACTTCTGATAGCACCAATTTATATTTCTGTTGCCGCAATAGTTTCCTCCAATTGTTCTTTTTGTTGTTCTGTTAAAACTTTTTGGATGTGCAAGATGAAGGAATCTTGGGTGTTTGTGCATGTAGGCTTTCTTCCGTATAGTATAGAGTAAAAGTTTTCAGTTATATCCAATTTTAGTTTGCCTATATTGTATTTTACAGAATGGATTTCCGAAAGATTGTGTCTTGTTTTTAATTTTGTGGTATAATACTTGTAAATTTTTAATGGAGGGGGTCAAATTATCTATTTTGGACTTTATTCTGAGACTCTCTAAACTAATTGCTTGTTTTCTAACAATCTGTGATTTACTTTGTCCTTCCTAGTCGTGTCAGTACCTTCTCTCCTTTGTCCAATCGTTTTCGAATTTCGTTCAGTTGTTTTATTATTCTTTCTTCCTCCTCCTTTTTCTTTTATCTATCCCTTGCTACGTATTTTGTAAGCAGTTTTTTGACTCTTGGTTTGATGCAGGTCCACCATTCAATCCAATTGTAACCCATCAGATCCTTTAAAAGTAATCCACTTTTCCCAGTGGTCCTCGAATTCCTGTAAAAATTGTTTGTCATTATGATATGTTGTAATATTCCGCCATGCACCTGGGCCCTTCTTTTCGATATCTTTTAAATTCAGTTCTAGTACAGCTGCCTCGTGGTCTGAGCAAGGAAAATAGATATGGTATGCTTTGTCAACTATTCTTAAATTATTTATGTATATCCTATCTAACCGTGCCACTCCGAGAGCGTGGTGAATTATGAATTCTTTGGAGTTTGGGTTGGTTGATCGAAATGTAGCTTTTAAATGGAAATCTTTGATAACCTTTTGAAGCGTGTTCTGCAGTGAGAGTGCTTTGATTTCGGTGGCCGTTTGTCGTTGTCCGGATCTATAGTTATATTGAAGTCTCCTGCTAGAATTAGGGTGTATGAAGTTATTAAATATTTTCACATATCCATGAAAAAGTTAACTCGTTGTCTATTGTTGCCTTCTGAGGAATAAGTATAGACGTAAATATTGGCCAAAGTAAATCTATTTTGCCTGGTTTCTATATTTGCTATGAGAGTTCTGCCTTTATTGTCATATTTTGGGTTTAAAATTTTTATATCATTTTTAGATATATTAATCAAAATTCCTACTCCTGCAGATTTACTAATATATGAATTCCAAACTGCATGACCGTATCTAAATCCTCTTGTCCAGTTCTTTTCATCTTTAATTTGACTATGCGTCTCTTGGAGAAAAATAACGTCCCATTGTTGGGATTTCAGGGATTCAAAAAAGGTGGTTCTTTTGATGTAGTTTTTCAGGCCATTTACATTTATTGTTACAAGTTTTAGTTTTTCCATTTTTTGGGTAGAGTGGCAAATTTTTCCCTACATCCGGGACACTTATCGTTTGTCTGATATTGCTCTACAGATATTAGGGTGTGGCAACATTGTAAGGGTACGGCTGGTTCATTGCAGTTTATGCATATAGTTGGATAGTCGAATTCCACTTCCCCACGGGGTGTTAAAAACAGCACACACGTTTCTGATTGCTTAATAGAGATATGCACCTGTTACAGTTAGGGCACTCGATTGATGTTTCGGGGGCCGATAAGCTAATAGCATTACATAAACGGAACTCACCGCTACTTCCTGATGTATCGTATTCCCTTTTGTTGTTTCTATCTTCATCAATCGTGGTTACCAAACTGTCGCAATCTACTATATCCAGTTCCTCCGAGCTAGTGCTATCCGATAGTGTTGAGCCCACGCCTTTGTTTGGATGGTCACGCCATGCTGCGCACTGGTTGGGATTCTATTTATCGCTTCTTATATGGGCCGTCTGCCATACGTTCGAATTTGTTGTGTCGTCATCTCGTTCCACTCCCACGACATTGGTAGGCGTTGGTTGTTCCGCCTGACTTGTTTTGGACTGCGGGCATGAAATTTCCTGATTTTTTGTCAACACCCCATGTTTAGAAGGTGTATCTCTTGTTTTTTCGACGATTTTGGTTTCCGTTTTTCTGTTAGAGACTTTATTACCAGCCCCTTTTTTATACGCTTCCTCTGATCCCACAATTTCGGCCCAACTTGGGGGTACCTCTATTTCCACTTTCAATCCAGTGTTTTCTTTTTCATTATGTCTCTTCTATTCCCGAGTAACCATTTCCTCTTGTTTTCTTTTTAAATCCAATTTTTGTAGTCTCGTGGGGCATTGGGCTCTCATATGGCCACCTTCATTACAAAACCCGCAGGTTTCTTCCTGGCCCAGTTATTTCACGAACAGTTTTTTTCCATTGATCCATATGTAGCTTTTAATTGGTTTATTTATAATTATTTCCCTGTTTATAATTACTCGTCTAGCTCCCGTTTTAATTCCCCTTTTTATCCTTTGGCTGCGCGATTGAATCCGGTTTTCCGTGGTTGAAAGTAATATATTGTATCAAATCCTCATCTCTCATTTTGATTGGCACCCAGTTGATATAAATTGGAATCTTATCCGGTATCACGAGGCTGTGTGCCGGTAAGTTTTGTCCTTCTTGCTTCAGTTTCCAAATATTTCTGTCCGCTTTTATTGCTCCTAATTTGTTGAAAAAACTTATTTCGGTAGTACCATCAGGGCACTGTATAATGCCATCAACATCTTCAAATTCGACTTTGATCGTTTCTAAAAATTTCCATAGCTCTTCTCTCTTTATTTGCCTAGAGAATTTTACACTCATATCACAGGATCTATCGATCCGTGGGATCTTTTGTGCTGCCACCTAGGCGCAATTACGAACTTCCGACGAAGCCGCATTCGAGCTTGCCATATCTATTACCAGCAAACGCCAGAGGGCTTCAAGAGCAACAAACATTTGCCTCCTTTACCTCGTCCAGACATTGTTTACAAGTTTGCGTTTTTTGACAATAAATTGCGATACCATAAATATGAGAACTGTTACAAATCCAAGTGGTATTTTGTCGACCGGGCTTTTAAATTCTTGTAAAGCTTGAATGATCCGACTCCCAGAATTGAATAGACGTGTACTTTTCTGTTATATTTCATACTTCTCTAGATAATACTATAGTGAAATATAAAAGTGATAAGATCAAATTCGATTATAACATAGCGGTGAGAGCGCATACGGTTCACGAGCCAATCATATCATACATATTACCTGTTACTGCCGACCGTCACGTACAAGGCAGATGGATAGATGCGCGAACCAACCTAATATGTTCGGCTGTGATAAAACATTAAGCTCGACAGTGTCTGAGTTGGTGGCACTGAAAAGTGCCGTTTATGTCATTTAATGTGGCGCCTTAAGACTCAAGAACTCTTCGACGTTTTTTTTTGCAAAAGCACGGCATGGATGTTGGGTAACACACCACCTTGGGCGATTGTGACTCCGCCCAGTAGCTTGTTCAGTTCTTCGTCGTTCCTAATAGCCAATTGCAGATGGCGAGGAATGATCCTGCTTTTCTTGTTGTCACGGGCAGCATTGCCTGCCAACTCGAGAACTTCAGCGCTCAAATATTTCAGAACTGCAGCGAGGTACACGGGTGCCCCTGCTCCAACACGCTGCGCGTAGTTTCCTTTGCGGAACAGTCTGTGTACTCTGTCTACTGGAAATTGCATCCCAGCGTGGGACGACCGGGTCTTAGACTTCGCCTTTGATTTGCCACCTTTACCTCTTCCAGACATGTCTATCGTGTTTTTTGCGTACGGTATTGAATGACGATAGATCGGTTCAATCGATTATTTATACCTCGACAACGGTTCAGCGGTGAACAAAAAACAAACTAACATCGATCTTCTTCTCGAAACGCGACTCTCTCGCAGCCTCATTTACATACGCGCGTGTATATATAATTTTGTGAGAGTCGATCACCTCATTCCGACAAAAAAGCAACATGCCGGCCACTAAAGGTAGCAAGAAAATGTCAAGCAAGGCGTTTGCTGCGTAGTGGTCTGTAGCTGCTGTGTGTACAATGGCTGGAGAGGGACGGCGATATGCCGATGTTGCGGCACAAAATGTCCCACAGGATATATCATGGATTGATAGGTCTTGTGACCTCAGCTTTGAAATGCAAAGGCAAATCAAGAGGGATGAGTTTTGAAAGTTTTTAGAGGACCTGGGGATAAAGGTAGAAGAAGTAGATGGCATAGTTCAGTACCGAAATGGGACAACTGAGGTAAGTTTTACAAACAGGCTGAAAGCGCTCCAAATGGACCGTATGCTGTGGAAATTGAAGCAAGAGGGCAAGCGCCTACCGGCTCATAGGCTCATTGTACCAGACAAATTACCACCGTACGTGAATTGGGTGCCAACTAAAATGAATGATAACTTAGTAATGAACTACATAACAGAAAACCATGGAAAACAAGACTCGATTGCACAACTAAAAGACAATAAAGGAGTTAAAAACGGAATAATCATTAATAGGGAACATTTGGTTGCGAACCCAATTCAAAGTTGAATAAACATAAGAGGGTTTAAATTATTTGTGAAACATCCTGGTCAATCTGAAACATGCAGTTATTGCAACGAGCCGGGGCACATGAGGTTCCAATGTCCTGAAAAACTAAAAAAACAAAACAAAATCCAGAAATAATCTTGCGAGAACAAATTGAAAACCAAAATTTAGATTCAAAACAAACAAACAACACGAAAATTCCGTTACCAGAAAAAGAATTATCTAGACAAACCAGTTGGGCGGAAAGCGTAGAAATAGAGGAAAGAAGCAACAAGAGATTATCATTGGAGTCGGAGAGTACAAGTGTGACAGGGGAGGATACAATGAAGAGCAACGGGAATGAAATTTGGCATAGGGATAATATAATAACAGGCAAAGAGGCAATTCATGACAAAATAGAATCTGAAGACCCCACGAGAGAAACTGATAGACCAGAACGGGCGATGCCCGTTGAAACAATATCACGTCATCAAGACGACAACAAAAAGCATGACCATATAAGGAAACCGACGTGTGCGGACGAAGAGACCTCGTGCGCATTAGACGGGAACAATCAAAACAAGGTGGGGTCCAGGTCGACGGAGTCATGAGACAGTACTACGGATCATGAAGTCTTCTCTGACAGCTTAAATATTACAGAAGAAGAAAGAAGAAACATCAAAAGGAAATGGAAAAGCTACAGTAGCGGTGAGTACCAATTTCGTAAAACTATAAGTTTATCATCCCCGGAGGCCACGACTAGTTGCCCAAATTGTAAAAAACACATAGGATTAATAAGCGACCAAAAACAGGTCTTTGCTTCAACTGTAAGAACGAATTCGAAGTCTTCCGCACATGTTGCAGAGATGATAGGCTCATGATAGCCCCAAAAAGCACGATCGATTTTCACCAGCCAACTGTTTGCAATATAGCAATTCCAATGGATTGCTGTCACACGCTAATACCGTTAAACAAATACCAAAATAAGGGAAAGTGCCCAAGATGCCGAGAGGAATATAAAATTTCACAGTCTACCAATGAGGAATCAGATTAAGCTTGTTACAATTAACGTTAACGAAATACGAAATTTGGAAAAACGAATAGCACTATTTAATTATTTTAAGGAACAAGAATGGGAAATTATATTCATACAGAAAACCCACAGCACCAACAGAGATGAATACAAATGGACACAGGAATGGGATGCCTGTGAATCTTTTTGGAACTCATACACAAGTCAATCAGCAGGAGTTGGAATACTCATCAACAAAAAAACGATAAGTCCTATAATTCTAAATCAAAACTTTGACAATAAGGGCAGGATATTAAATCTTACTATAAATATAAAAGAAACCAAAATTAAATTAGTCAATATCTACGCTTACACCAGAACTAGTGATAACAATATGGAAGAAAGGATTAACTTCTTTCAAAATTTAGGCCTGCACTTATACTCTACTGAAAAATAGATTCTAGGAGGCGACTTTAATGCAATAACTGATCCAATTTTCGATAAATTCCCGTCTCCATCTCCCCCATACCAAACTGCAAAAATTTTTGGAGGACTTTACCACCAAATTTAAATTGAAGGACACATTTAAGCACCTGTTCCCAGCTAAAAAAGAATTCACATACCACCACCAATTAGGCAGTAGTAGGATAGACAGGATATACTCCAATAATATAGATATCATTAAAGCGGTGAAACATGTACCAATACCTGATACCGACCACGATACTGTAACTGTAAAATCTGAGGATATAAGAGGCCCAGGGGTGTGGCGTAATAATTCAGCACACTATGACAATGATGAATTCGAGATCAAATGGAATAAATGGAAAACACTGAAGGACTTCTATCAATATAACTGGATGCAGTGGTGGGAAATGGCTAAAGATAGGACCAAAAGATTACTCATAACATTTGGAGCTCGGAAAAGAAAAAAAGACAAAGAAAAATGGTGATATTAGAAAAGAAAATAGAACACTATAGGAGAGAACTTAACAAAGGTAACAAATTTCTTAACGAATTTAATCAGGCTAAACGAGCTTTTCGAGAACAACAAAAATTGAACTTTGAAACAGTAAAATTGCAATCGAACATTGCTAAAATCTCACCTGGTAAACACAACCTGCAATTATTCTTTGCCGAAATTAAAAAAATGCACAAAAAATGTGAATTTGGAACCCTGAGAAACCTTACTGGCCAAATTAAAACAAAAAATCATGAGAAAATGGAGCCTATTGAAGAACATTATTCGGCTTTATATGAAAAGCAAGAAACTTGTCCAGGAGAAAAAAAAATTTTTATGTCCAAAATCCAGATTGTGGTTGAAAACCCAGAACTAAATAAAAAAAATTACAATGGCAGAAATGGAAAAAGCTGTTAGGAAAATTAAGAACAGGAAAGATGGATTAAGCGGAGAGTTTTCCAAAAAGTGCTTTAAAATTATCAACAACGAGTTACTGGAATTAATCAATGAGTTTTATAACAGCCCACATCTAGATAAAAGTGTTTTGATAGGGATCATGCATCTAATCCACAAGAAAGGGGACAAAGATAATATTAACAACTATAGGCCTATAACCCTACTGAATAATGACCTAAAAATTCTAAACGGGATACTCGCGGAAAGATTGAAGGAGCTACTACCGAACATATCCTATACACAACAATTCCTGACTCCACATCGCAAAATTGGGGATCTTGGTATACTGCTGAAAGATCTAACAACGCAGCTAAAGGAACAAATATCTGGACACATGGCATCTCTGGACTTCGACAAAGCATACGATTCAATAGACCATAATTTCATGTTCTCTATACTGGAAAAATTTGGTATGTCTCGTAAATTTATCAGATATATAAAAAAGATATACAACAACGCCCAGGTTCATATTATTATCCATGGACACATATCAATGGACACAAGAAGTATCTCTTAACAGAGGAACAAGACAAGGGGACCCTTTGTCCAGCCTGCTTTATATATTAACCACCGACCAAGCGCAGATAACTCTATAATTGGAATAAGGTTACAGGGCTGCAAAGAGCAGTTTAAGGTACCGGCATATGCCGATGACATCACGGCTGTGAGCAAAGCGGCTGGAGCAAAGGAGCGGCTTTTACACATGGTAGACCGCTTCGGTAAAGCGTCCGGCTTGAAGCTGAATTATAAAAAAAAAACTCGGTAGTAATAATAGGGCATCTCTATGGGAACATTAATTTGAACCGAATCTGGGACACAAAAATAAAAAAATGTAAGCAATACCTCAAAACCCTGAACCACATGAAGCATAATTTGATAGATAAAATCATAATATTAAAGTCTAGAATACTGCCAAAGTTACTCTACTGCTCCCAGCACCTGGCCTTACAAGCACGGCACAGAAGCAAAATTCAAAAAATGTGCATGAAATACTTATTTGAGATAAATGAGAGGACGGAGTTCGAGACAATCACAAAACCACAGAGTGAGGGAGGCCTAAACTTAATTAACATTTCCTTTTTCTTAGATATTCAATTTGTGAAGTCGATAATGGTGTACCTTCGGAGACAAGTAGCAGAGGATGAAAAAAAACACGACATCCTGCACGGCAGAATTGATCATCAAGTCGCCATCCAGCTAAAGGCCTACCTCGGTAACAGCTTTCGGAACGATACACCTCATACAACAAAGCCGATGGATCATAGGCAAGAGAGACTAAAAATCTTCAAATCATATAAGTTCAATACGATCGATATATTCAAAACTCCAAAGGAATTATACAACAAATTGATCGGAGACGTCACGACCAAAGAGATTAAATCTATGATCTCAAATAGCTGGATAAACATGAGCAGCAAATTTTTTGATGACAAAGAGATGATATTCAACTGGAAATGCGCATCAGATCATGCCAACAAATTCCAAGTACCGTATACGATTCTTTTCAAACACTGATTTATGCCCGTGGTGCCATCTGAAGCCAGAAACTGAAAAGCATTTATTCGGGGAGTGCGAAGAACCCACAAACTCATGGTGGCAGCAATATTTGTATGGGCTCAGAGAAATGAACACCCTACCATACCCATATCAAATGAATTAATACAGGAATATAACTTCCCATCAAATCTGGACGATCAACAGAGTATAACCCTAGCTTTCGCGATAACGAAAATGAAACAGTGCATATGGGCAGAGCGAAATAATGTGGCAATAGGAAAGAAATCACCAAGCTCATTGAGGGCATTCAAGGAATTCAAAAAAAGAATCAACTACA